TAGATCCTGCGGATTCACCAGGTACGTAGAAGCTCTTGTTGCTATTTAAAGAGTGAAAACCCCTCAAAATTACGAATTACGCCTTTTTAAAGTATTACTAGAAGAGCATAGATTCAACTCTAGTACCCATGCCCTTGTAAGGTAACTTCCATACGACAAGTATTCATAAAGTGACTGGGCTCGATCAGTTGACCAGTTGACAGGAAAGTAATTGAAGCTATCAAGAAGATTGAGATTTTTCTACTCTCCGGATAATTTCGAGGGGATAAGGTCAACTGGTCATCAATTCCGTCACGGCAATTACGGCCTTCCTAAAAGAGAAACGTGTAAATTCATCGAAATCCTGTTGCCCTGCCGCTATTAGCCACTGAAGGATTACAGTCGAGCTTTGAAGTACTTCATTGATTGTTCATAAATGTTTGTCGTGAAAGACAACCAGTTTGATTACTTTTTCTGATTCTGTCGGCGGCAAATTAGGTAACACCGATGGCGGCTTTTTCCTGCTGGCAGGTATGCACTGATGAAGTCTAGCGATTCACTTCGACCACTGGCTTGTAGCGGTGCGTATGAAGCACACCCTAAAGGACAAGGATAAAGTCTTTCGGCGTCAATCAATCCCTTCTGAGGGACGCACACCCGCATTCGACCTCCATTCAAAATCGTAGTAGCGTAATGAATGTGTATGTAGCCTATACAATGACTTTCGGTAGCCAGCTGATGTACAAGTCAGTACTTTTATCCTCCCACACGATCTGGTACCAAGTAGCCGTCCTCGGAGGGATAGAAGGCTTGGTTGGCCAAAGCGGACATCGATCCGGGATCCATGATTATGTGCGTGAGATAGTGCGCTACGTGCCACTACATCACCGCCCGGATCACACCCTACAGGGAGTTTCTTGAACTTTGGCATATCGGGGATAGGTAGTCTGTACACGCACCGCGTCCTTCATCCACTGTAGAACATTTAGTGTCTTCCTTGTACTCAAATAATTAAACACCGATCAAAAGGACAAAATAGTCTAGAAAAATTGGGATGTGGTGGAACTCCAAAAAGGATGTCTTTTAGCGAATTGTTCATTCAGTATGACCTCTCTGCCCCACCAGTCTTTGACTGAACTGAGGCCAAAAACATGCAAGAGGCTGACGCAAACTGTGAGGATGAAACTACTTCATATTTTCAGAAAACTTTGAGATTCTCACAAAAATTGCACCCCATCGAGCCTAGTCAACTCTAGCTAGAATGAATGTGGAGCAGCTATGATCTTAAAGCTGGAATTTTTCACATTATGACAGTTTCTCTTCAACAATTGAAATCTTTCAGTGACATATGGGAACGACTTGGCGAGATCTCAATGGAGCGGATTTGTGCGCATGAAATTGTACAGGTAGGTAGATTTTCCGAGATAACCGTTACCATGGTCAAGATTTGCTCAGAAACATTTTTGAAGCTCTTCGATATCTGGCTTCATATATCTTTAAATTATCACATACATTTCCCTTAGAAGACTCGCGAAGCAGCCCGTGCATGGCGAATACTACTTGCGTGTATTATCGATGAATTCCGAAGTGGTTTTGATGGTGAGGCTCGCTACCACAGGTAATCAATACATATGTATATAACTAATACATTGTTGTATTGTGAGAAAAATGAGAAATGGAATCGAATGTCTTTGAAAATTTTCTGACAACCGGGGTCCACTATGCAGTTCCCAAGGCAAGCTGCAGCATGAGTCACAGGAGACACCCATACCATAGCATTTCCTCACCGAAGTTGTGACGACTAGGAGAGATTGGCCGCTGTGAAGTTTGGCCAGTATTGTAACGGTAGCATAATCGTCCCAATTACCCTACTCTTTATCGTTGAACACGACCTGAAAATTAAATTGAACTGTATGGCTCGACTCTAGTGCAGACTTGACTTCAACCGATCTCATCCTATTATCAACTTTGAGGATTGGAGTCGTACATTTCTTTGGTTATCATCTACTTTAAACCCTTCTCTTAGCTGCCCAGCGTCCATACAGTGGTTTTCGTCACCGCAACGTCCGGTTGCAATTTGCCTCACTGAACGGATTCTAAGCTGCCTTCTCATGGAGATTGCGATGATGTCCGAAGTCTTCACTATGTTTCAGTGGAGCAGACCAAATTTCCAATTAGTCTCCCAACGGCTCTCACCCATCTGTTTATGGGAANCCTGTAAAATCCTCTCGAACTTTCCGGCATTCCACTATGATTTCACAGAATGAGCAGTATTGATGAATTGGTGTAAAAGTTGAAAATTATTTATAAAATGTTAAACTGAAGGGTGATAAGTTTATAGGATTATTTAAGATGAACTCGAGCTAAAAAAACATCCTGAATGGCCGTACTCCCCTATAATATTCCCATCGTAGTGCTTTTCTTGTAAAACCATACAGCTGCTGTGTCAACACTAGCTTCTTCTGTTCCATAAATCCAAAACAAATTAGAGTGAAGTACATGGCACGCCAGGGACACGAGGATATTCCCTCTCGTCTTCAATCATTAGTTCTTCAAATAGCTATCATAGTCAAATCATTTCCCCAGGGAAAAATAGGGAAAATGTCCCACGCCAAGGAAATTCATGCGAAGGAAATTCCACCCGTGTTCATCCCCTAGGGGAGTCCGACCCAGACGGTTTAAACTGTGAGCGGGTGGGGCAGAGCGGCTGCACTTCTGGCCATTCTGGTCATTGCCGACTACTTTACCATCCCATCACTTAAGACACATCATGTAGCGTGCCTTGAACTGCACGGATTTTCTCTTCACCAGTGGTTTTTAGGGGAATTCTCCCATGCCTCGATACCACTGTCTAGTACTAACAAGATTTTTTTCAGAAAAAGTTTGTCAACCGATCAATTGGATGATGTGGATGGTGTAGAAGATGATCCTGACAGTAACATTCAAGAGAGAATGCGGCAGTTACGAATGGAATACGATTCAACAGTGCCTTACCAATAGAGGTGGTACTTAATGATCATATGCTTTCCTCTTCCTTGTTATGATAGAAATCATCATAACTATTCACATAATCATCTAGTCAACTGTAATTGTTGACTTCACTCGTGTTATCCTCTTCTTCATTTCTATCCTCCATGGCTTTCAGCGAGGTTTCCTTAACTGCTCACATCTTTCCGAGAAGGTGTTATTCAATATTATTAAGTCTTATGGGGAAAAGAAATCAGCGTCACAGAAAAATTCACAACAGTATTTTCCCAATACCTATCTGCATCTTCTTTAGTCCTCTTCGAAAGGCACTGAAAACCCTAAAGAACCGTAAAACTGCAATTTGTATTCTACACGTTGCATGCCTTATTTGATCTGACATGTGGGTTATGAAATAGGAGGCAAGGACACGTCTCCGTCTGGCCGCTTTCAGACTTCGACGACCGTCGTCCGTCCGTCCGTGCAACGCGTGCGCGACGGCGGTCGCTTGCGTGCTGCGACGGGGCGGCGCTAGAGTAGTGTTGACAGCGCTGGCACGTGATCTAGTGTTGTCAACAACGGTCAGGCGCCGCCGTCGCACACGCGAACGGACGGACGGAAGGACAGTCGGATGAGTCGTTGAGGTCTGAAAGCAGCCTCTTTATTCCCAACGCGTCGGGCATAGTACTTTCAGGGTTAGGTTAACCAACACCTGCTGAATACGGAACACTGATCCAGCTCGGCCTTGAACGCTACTGCTGCATGGAATCACTATGAATCCTCTTCTGTCGACTCTCTCACTCAATTTCATACCTGATCTCATTTGTGTAGATTGTTTCACATTTCACTCGCTTTTGTATAGCTTGCTGCACAATGTCATATCTTGGGTCGCATTATCATAATCGTATATTGCGTGTGTTTAAACATTCATTATTTGCACTTCGATCTCATGTGTATTTACATTTATATGCATAAAAAATCTTATTGGATATGTCGATTGGAAACTACTTGGACAGAAGACATGAGACACTGAAGCACCATCTGTGTCGCGCAGGCGTCGCCACCCTACTCCTCTCACATGCTCATAGGTTTCGGGCTCCACAACGCTAACTGAGGCGCTTGCTCTTGCCCCTTGCCCCTATGTCATTATCTCCTCGATGCCCGGGCGGAACGACCGGACACCGCCGCGAACCACGACAGGACAGCGGTACAAAAGCGAACAAACTCGACGGCGATAGACCTAGACCCACTAATGCTACATAAGCCAGAGCACGCGGCCTCTCCGGACACGAAGGACATCCACAGTGCGCGCCAGGACGCCGCGCGACTCAACAGGGTGGTGCTTGAAACACTCGTGCGGAAGCCACGACAAACTCCGCTCCGATTAGACAAACTCCGCTCCGATTATAAGGATTTCCTCCAGCACAGAAAAACGCGACAATACCTATCGAATATTAGCAACTGGCACAGCAAAATTGTCCCTCACTTGCTGCAACAGCTGAAAGTCCTATTCATACACGAAATCTTTATTTATCGAAAAACTTGTGTAAGCCATAGTTATTGTAAGCAATGACATTGATGGGCTTAAAATTTCCTATCATACATAAAAAATTTGTCCTGCAAAGTGAGATTAAATTATGTGTCAATGACGTACGCAATGCTGAAGGAGTAGTAACAGCAAACAACAATGGGAGTCTGAATTACAACGGGAAGCAGTCTGTTCCGTGTAGTTTTATCGATGCATAAATGTTTCATGGGAATCACCGCGGGTAACCCCACATTTCGTCATAAGTACGGAAATAGATATCATTGTCAGTTTCGCCACGCTTCTTCATCATCGCATCCATTTTAACAGCTTTCAGCCGCCGTGACCACCGGATTATGAACCATAACAGAGTTGGTGATACAATAGTGTAGTAAGGAAATAGCTAGAAAAGTATCTTTCAGGCTCTATTCAGTGTATCTCATATTAAGTGGTTTGAAATAGCTCTCAAGCTTTCACTTCAGAAAACACTTTTTCGTAGGAGCTCCATGTCATCGCTCAAGCTACACATCTCTCTGATTGAAAAACCTAATTGATCTTATTGAACTGCGCATGATCTCAAGTAGCTGGGAATTGAGCTTTTCATATGCCTAGCGCAATCCTCTCTTTCTATTGGACCAAACGGAAAATCCCCAAGGTCTTCTCTTCTTATCTCTGACTGTCTGTCCGGTGGGTGCATGTTAAAAAGCTGGTGCTAAGGATACCGCCGACAACTTACGACAGTCCGCACGAAATCGATTGGGTTACTTCATGAACGTGTAGTTGAGCTCTCAAATTTTTTCCCCTGAACTATTTCCATTTCATCCACTCCAACGTGCATGTCATAATAATCTCTTTAGGAATATTTTTTTGTAATTAGGCTGATCAGTCTAGACTGATTGTGAGAAGTATTTGCAGAAAACATAGCATTCGTTGGTGAATGCCACTAGTTGTTTTCACTTCACATGCCAATGGAAGGGAACTCACATTCGTGGAGGCCAAAAGCGTTCGATAGCTGACCATTGTGAGCTGATCCCGAAACATGATTATTATAAACCCGCTTGTTGTGGTGATTCCGGAGACGGTCGCTTGAAAAATATCCAATGGAAGAAGTAGACGTAAAACGCTTTCGTTTTCGCGAAGTTGATACGATATGTTGAGATCAAAACGCTTTCTGAATTATTCTTGTTGCATAGGTGGCTAACTTTTGAATATAAGGAGTAAATCATGCAATTTTTTTCCGGAATGAGTGGCTGCTGCTCGAAGAGGTTATGGTGAACTGCAACGGTTCGCCAAGGTTCTCTCGAATTATATTGAATGGAAATTCGCTTTAGGATGCATCTTCCCAAGGAACCACTTGGGCTTCATTGTATTACGCTGTACTTGCTGTTAAGTGTACGTCAACGTTAACCTTTCGAGAAAATTTCATCACTTATATTGTCATCGATTATGACCGACCTTTCAAAGTAGTTCACATGTTTGTCTAAATTATTAAAGTTAGGTACCAACATGATGATAGTTTGTACAGAAGATTCCGCTGAGATCTTAGTCTAGAAAAAGGAAATAATTGTTTACATCACTGTTGTCGGCTCGTAAGATGAGATTAAGGAAACTGATGTGCA